GGAGAGAAGAGGGGAGTGGGAGGTGGGAGGAAGGCTCACCATCACCTTCACGGTGCCCAGGGGGTACGATGGACAGACGGACGCTGCCAGACATGATTCCATCCCTGTTCCTGCCCTCTTGGGCATTTTTGGGGGGGGGGCTGATCCCCCCGTGCCCCCACTGCCCTCAGGGTTACACCGAGCCAGGATCAGCCCCTCGCTCTGGCTGCGCTGCCAACGTGGCACTTCCCTCCAGCCCAAAATTCACTCAAAAAAAGGAATAAAAATGTAAATCTGGGGCCTGGCCTGGCACAGAGGGCACAGGCTGGTGGCAGGGGGGGGTCCCCATCCCTTGCCTTCCTAATGCTCTGCTTTATCCCCCCCCAGCCCAGCAGCCAGGGCCAGATCCTGACCTCCTGATGGGAAACGATGCCACCCCACCACGTCCCCAACCAAGGACCCCTGTCCCCAGTGGTTCTGGTGGCAGGAGGGGTGTCAGGGCTTAGCCAGAGGGTTTGTGCTGGCCGTGCCATGCCGTGCCACGCTGTGCCATGCCGTGCCATGCCCCCGGGGACCCGCGTGGATTTGGCCACGTGTCACCGTGCCGCAGCCGTCCCTCCCTGCAGGACCGTGGTCACGTCCCCGCCGTCTGTCCCCAATTTTCCCCGTGGGTGGCACGGAGCCTGAGAGGTCTGGGGGACGGAGAGCGGGGCCCAAGGTTGCAGGGACTGGCATGAAGGGGCTGTCCCTCTGTCCCTCTGTCCCTCTGTCCTTCCCATGGGTGCCCCCGAGGCAGGGCGAAGGGGTTAACGGGGTGACCGCAGCCTGGGCAGGGGAGGGGGCATCGATTTTCTGTTAATTCTGGGCTACATTGACCCAGAGATGGAGAGACAGGGGGCATGGCCACCCGCCTGCTCTTTGGGCCACCCTCCCCGGGGGTGAGACCACCGCAGATGGCCGGCGCTGCAGACCCTGGCACGAGGGAGCCGTGCCACTGCCACCCCTCTCCCCCCTGGGGTGCCCCCCTCGTTGTTGCCAGGGGTTGTGTGTCCCCCCGTGCCCGGGAAGGAGCCATCCCCACCCAAAACAGGCCTGGAAACTGGGTTTATCCCTGTCTGTCGCCCCCCCCCC